AAAAATATATATATATATATATATATACCAAAAAACATGACTGTAGTATGTTTGAGATATATTAATATATCATATAATATGAAAAAAAAAATATTAAATTAACAGACCCTTTAACAAGAACATTGATGAAGAAACCAAAATATCCTTAATAAACAATTTTCCTATCTTAAACTTGACATAAACTTACCTTTAACTTTATAAATGAAATTGATATGTAATGAATTTAAAAAATAAATACAAACGGGGTGTCATAAATATCCATGAACTAACAATAAATTATGTTTAAGACATATTATGTTGTTAAAGGGTTTTCAATCATAAACACGTTCTGGCATGTTTCACATATATTGCGTCATAAACCAAACTCAGGATAGAAAATGTTGAGACGTATACAATTCGCGCACACATATATATATATGTGTGTATATATATACATTTGTATATATGTATATATGTATACATAACTATATGCAATAAATAAAGTCATTAGTGATTTAAAGCTAACTACAAAATGCATTGTCAATTAAAATCATGATTACAGTGAAATGAAATATACATAAACATGATATAGACTATTCATTTAATAAGCAGAAATGTGATTTCATATATATAAACATGATATAGACGATTCATATACTAATCAGAATTTTTATACTAATCAGAAAATATTATACTTTGAAATGAAATATACAAAAAAAAGGACATAAAACTGAATACAAAAAAACTACTTGCAACAGTTATCAAAAATTATTATACTTTGACAAATATGTACTTACATTGAACTTTTCCTTGAATAAGGCAAATTCTGCAAATACCCGGTTGGAAAAGTCAAGGAAAATTTGCTTCAGAGTTTCAACCTCATGGGTAAGTCTGTCAAGACGTTTTATGACGTCTGCTTCACTTTTCTGCTGATGGTGGTCGGTTGTCGGGATTTCATCACGATTAAACTCATTCTTGCTCTTGAAAAAATCATTGATAAACAACGTGTGTTTCTCTTCGTCGGTGGGTATCACGTTCTTGAACTGACGATAAAAAAGAAAAATTAAGAATTTAGTGTATGGGGGTATTTAAATAAATACAGGAACATATGTACGTATCTTGCAAATAATTATGTACAGATATAGTTATTACCTTGCTGGAATCCAAATTTGAAAATATTCTTTGCATGAAGGCACAGTTGTGACTACCACGTACTTCCCATTTGAGCATTCTGGGCATGTCATTTTCGCTTAGGCATGTGCAAATGACACCATCTGCAGAGGTGCAAACCTCGTAAAACCAAAGTTGGAGTGCAAGGATAAACCCGTAGCACCTGTAGAGGTAGCCACCAGTCACTGGTTTCCCGGCTTTGTGGATCTGTTTTCGATATTGGGTGGATTTCTTCAGATGGTGCATCGTGAACTCAAACACTTTGGTTCCCCAATCAAAATCGTCACAATCGGCGTTGTCTATCATGTCAAGGTAGCATCTATCTACCTTTAGAGTGTCTTGCGACCCAATTAAAAAATTTACAAGAAAAGCTCGATTTCGAACATGAATCTTATCAAAGTAAAAGAGTATTCTTCAACAATTTTAAAAGGTTCAGTGGGACCAAATTTTTTCGTCAAATTTATATAAACCTAAAAGAACTTTGTCAACAATGGGACCACATTATATGGAAAAATACAATATTTGGACTTTGTAAACTAGGAACTCAATATATGAAATTAACAGATAACATTCATCACAACCATTTTCACCTTGAATACCTTGACTATCGGACAATCCCCAGTTGTATTGCCTACAGTACTGCTATCTTTTGTCCTCTTTTTTTTGAAATGACGTCCTTCCTGTAATCCATCCTTCTTTTTTTTACTGAATTTCATCCCAGATATTTGCTCATCCTCATATTCAGAATCATCTACTACAGCGTGCATTTCATCCTCAGCATGATAATTTGGATCTCGCGACTCTTCTGCTTCAGCCACATTTGAGATCTTTCTTTTTTGAGTTCTCCGAGCATCTTTGTGATGAACTTCGCCATGGTCCGACTGAAAGTCGTCGGAATCTGGGTTGGCAGTCTGCCTAATGTGTCGGGATTTGCCAACTTCCTTGCTTGTTCTAGTTGGCTTCATGTTCTTCTCGAAATCGAGCTTATTTTGTATGAGTTTGCTTTTATCTCTGGCCAGGATCTGCTTGATACGAGTGCTGGATCGCCTGTGTGGATCCCCTCCGGTACCGGGAGTTGGTGGGTCGCCGGCTACGGGAGGCAATTTCGTTTTTGACATGAAGATGAAACCTAGGGTTTACAGATGCTGTAGTTGATTTGTTTGATCGTGGGTTTGGGGTTGTGAGATGAGAGATAATTGATTATGTGCGATAATGGGGGGTAGTTTTGATTTCATTTGGTAAGTTATCCCACAAAATCAGCATTAACTGACCCCAATATATTATTGTTCTTATTTTCGTATAAATGCAATATAAATGACAAGAATTAGTAGTTGTGCTAAATTTATTTCTTGAAGTGTAAAGTTGTAAATAAATATATATGGAGTCGTGCCACATATAATTTCCTCTTGTTTACTCGTAGAAGTCCACCAAATTACTTATTAAGGGCATTTAGAATTGTGTGTCGGCCCACACTATTACCTCACATTTTGCTTTTTACCTTGTTATTTTATTTAAGATAGTAATTGTTTGGTTTTTCCTTGCCTTAAAATACATCATGTTTCTTTTCACTCTTTAATTACTCGTGTAAAAAACTCGAGACTCTTAGTTGATGGATAACTTGAAGTTGAATGATCAACAAATGTTGATATTTTCTCTTCGGCTATGAAATACCTATTATATTCTTATTTTAATTAAATTATAATTTATTTTTGTTTTCTTTTATAATTATATTGTATTTAAATTCTAGCACATGTATATAATAAAAATTATTAAGAAAATAGGATAAATAAATTAACAACGTATTACAATTGATAAATTAAAAATTCAACCATCTCGTTGCCACTTGCCGCTGACGTCCACCGCCATTAGTCATCGTTCTCCGCTCGTATACCAGTAGTGAATTTAAACAAATCATATATTATTTTCAATCTCTCGACTCGATTTATATACAATATTGACATGTTCAATTTCGTCATACGAACATTCCTCAAACTTTGTTAAATAACCACTACAAAATAAATGTTATATTCCAACAGAAAATCCTATGGTAATATATTCGAATGGAAATTCCAACAGATATTCCATGGAATAGCTTCCGTTGGAATAGTTCCAACATAAATTCCAACGGTAATATTCCGTTGGAATGCGCTTTTCATTGGAATTTTAGATGGAATTTGATGATTCCAACAGCTATATTTCCAACGGCTTTTTACCGTAGGAATTTTCGTTGGAATATGCAAATTCCGTTGGAATTTTTTTTCCACCCCCGTTGGAAAATCCACCGTTGGAATCGTCAAAATCCAACTGAAATTTCAATAGAAAACCCATTCCAACGGAATATTTTCGTTGGAATTTCCGTTGGAATCTACTAAAAAATATCAACGAAAATAATAGTATTGAAATATCCGTTGGAGTAATTCTTTTGAAATATATTTCCGTTGGAATTTCATCATTTTCTTGTAGTGGACTGGACTAAATCGTCAGGAAAAGCTAGTGAAGTTTCTAAATTTCCGGCGGCGCGCGATTGCGGTTATTCAAATTTGATTGGGTGAACTAACAAATATATAATTGGGCTTTTACATTTAATCTTGTATTTTAGGACATTTGTGTATTGGGCCTTTAATTGTATAGCATTATCATTAGCCCAATAGGTTTTCTACTCATAGTATAAAAGGGAACCACTTAGGGTTTCCCAAACACGATTTTGTATTTTCTCAATCTCTGAATATCAGAAGCTCTCTCTACTTTTGCACAGTTCATCTTCTGTTCATCTTCTGTTCATCTCATATTTTCTCATATTCTGGTACATTTCATACCAATACTCCATATCCTATTGAAGATCATCTTTCTGTTGCACAATTGTCATCCTCTCATGCATGTTTTACAGCTTCCATCTTTGTATTGACTGAACCAAAAACCTATAAACAAGCTGTTAAGGACCCACTTTGGCAAGAAGCCATGAACAAAGAGCTACAGGCTCTTGAGAAAACTAACACTTGGGTCCTAACAGACTTACCTCCTGGTAAACATACAATAGGTTGTAAATGGGTTTTCAAAATCAAATACAAATCAGATGGTTCCATAGAAAGATATAAAGCAAGATTAGTAGCTAAAGGGTATACCCAAGAAGAAGGTATAGACTACTTTGATACTTTTTTTCCTGTTGCTAAAATAACCACAGTTAGACTTCTTCTTGCTGTTGCATCTATCAAATCATGGCATGTGCATCAATTAGATGTTAACAATGCATTTCTGCATGGTGATCTCCATGAAGAAGTTTACATGACCCCACCCCCTGGTTACATATCTGATACTTTGCATGATTCTAGGGTTTGCAAGCTTACAAAAAGTCTATATGGCCTTAAACAAGCCTCTAGACAATGGTTTCAAAAGTTAACCACATGTTTATTACAATATGGTTTCACTCAATCCATCTCTGATTGTTCATTATTCACTATGCAATCTGATAATCATTTTTTAGCTCTGTTGGTCTTTGTGGATGACATTATATTGACTGGTGATGATATTACTCAAATTCAGGATATCAAAACTCATTTAGATACCTTTTTTACAATAAAGGATCTTGGTCAATTAAAGTATATTCTAGGCATTGAAGTTGCACATTCTGAAAAAGGCATAAATCTATGCCAAAGAAAATATGCCTTAGATATTCTCTCTGATTCTGGTCTTTTAGCTGGTAAACCTGCCAACACACCTATGGATATTAATCTTAAGTTAACATCTCTATCTGAATCACAAGATAAATCCATAGATCAAACCTCTTACAGGAGATTGATTGGCAGGCTACTGTATCTAACAATTACAAGACCAGATATTTCTTATAGTGTGCAGGCTTTAAGTCAGCATATGAGCAATCCAACTGAAGTCCATCTCAATGCAGCACATAGAGTTCTCAGGTACATCAAACAATCTGTAGGGCAAGGTATCCTCTTTCTTAGAAACTCTTCCTTGTCTTTACATTGCTTTTGTGATAGTGACTGGGCTGGTTGCATTGACTCCAGAAGGAGTATTACTGGTTTCATGTTTTTTCTGGGAAAATCCTTAATTTCATGGAAATCAAAGAAACAGACAACAGTCAGCAGGTCTTCTGCAGAAAGTGAATATAGAGCCTTGGCTTCAGCATCTTGTGAAGCTCAATGGCTTCTATATTTACTTTCTGATTTAAAAATCTCACATCATTTTCCAGTGTCTGTTTTCTCAGATAGCAGGTCAGCCATTGCAATTTCCCACAATCCCATCTTCCATGAAAGAACAAAACATATAGAGATAGATTGCCACCTTATAAGGGAGAAGATCTCAAAAGGCATAATCCAGCTCAATCATGTTCCTTCCAAAGAACAAGTGGCAGACATTCTTACCAAAGCTCTTGGTCCTCAACCTTTTCAATACCTTCTCACCAAAATGAACATGTCAAATATCCATGTCAATTTTGCGGGGGGGTAACAAATATATAATTGGGCTTTTACATTTAATCTTGTATTTAGGACATTTGTGTATTGGGCCTTTAATTGTATGGCATTATCATTAGCCCAATAGGTTTTCTACTCTTAGTATAAAAGGGAACCACTTAGGGTTTCCCAAACACAATTTTGTAATTTCGCAATCTCTGAATATCAGAAGCTCTCTCTATTTTTTGCACAGTTCATCTTCTGTTCAATGAATCATATTAACAATATATGTAAAATTGTGCTCGAACACGACCCGCGCAGCTCGTGCGTCGAGATACCGCGCGTCAAGTGTGGAAAGGCCTTCAACAACGATATTGAGACGCTGTTATACCCGCACCTGCTGCCCGAGGGCGCTTGGGAGAGGCACTACTGCAGTTTGAGAAAGACATTTATAGTAATAAATAATATGAAATACAATTTGCAATCATCACCTCAGAAAACATAGCAACAAATTTAATTTTCAGTTGATAGAATATAATTTTCAAACTATCAAGACTCCTAAGTTTTGTCTTTTAATAATTCAGTTTGGCACTTATCACCTCCTGGTCTCATGGCCTTAAAAAATTATGAATTATTTACATTATGCAGAAAAAAAGAATCAAATGTTAAAACACAAGCAAGAAGAAACACTAATGTATTGTACTAAAGTACATTTAATATCATAGAATGGAAATTTCCGCACATATTTGTGCAAGTTCACCTGTAG